CCCCCCCCCCCCCCCCCTTATACCAACACAACACGCACCGCAATAAGCACCACGCATACATGTGCACGCGCACGTTCGCCTGCGTGGCGATCGGCATCCAAGATCGATCTCCCGCGGGATGACGAAGAAATAGAAAAGAGAACGAATGTACGAGTGTAGTTTTATGGCGATCAGATTAACTGCGGTATTAACTGCAGTCTCATAAAGACCTTGTTCACTTTTGATTGTGTTGTTATGCACCAGTAGGTTTCATCTAATGATATGATTTTAATGATAAGTAAATAAGGATATTGATTTTATTCGAATCGCGTCAAAAGCTGTATTTTATTTTTATTCGTCATTGCTCCATTACCGAAAGGGTAGCTGCAGCTTGTAACGGCGCGAGAGACGCATCGTAACGCAATGTTCTTTTATAGAAAGGAATAGTTATATATACATCGGTCAAATGACGTTAATTTATAACTACGAAAAGCGATCTCATGACCATTTCTTTTTACAAAGGAGATCCGTACATTCGTTCCAAGTCGCACCCAATTAATCCGAGGACCGATCGTTTCAGACCACCGAAGTCGACAGGAAGATGCCGGCTCGAGAGCTAAAAACATCCGGCTGTCAATATTTTTTTCTTCCCTTTAGTTCGCCATTTAGGTCTCCGCCGTTCGTTAATCGTTCTCGTGTGTATTATGTTGCAGTAAATGAAGTTGTCGTCGACAAGTGGGCCCAGTAAATGAGTGGGTTGTCGACAGGCGTGATCCCACACTCCGTCGTCGCCGCCACCGAGCGCGCGAGGCAAGCTCAACCCGAAAATTAAAAAAAACCCAAACGAAAGAAAATTAAAAGATGCAAAGACGAACGAACAAAAGCGTGAAATAACACGCTTGTGTTTCGTAGAGCGCTGAAATAACAACAGAAACGGCAGCAGCAGCAGCAGCAGCAACGCACTCGATAACCACTTAGCTACCTGCCAACCTGCAGTTCGGGGATCCTCCTCCGTGTCCGGGACTTCCCCGATCGCTGAGTAGATGCGCTATACCGTCTCGCCGCCGCTGCTTTTATTCTTTTTCATCTTCTCTTCTCCCTCTCCGCAAGATCGCTGCGCACGAGAGGTCGTTCGAGTCGAGGTCGTCGTCCCGAGGCCGACGAAAGCGAAGCGAACGAACGGCTTTAAGGAAACTCTTCGTCTTCGGTGTCTGCAGCCGCATATTAACGTTCTTAACTCAACGACTGTGCCTTTTTAAAGCCGATTGCACCAAAGTCGGTCAGCGCTAATTTCGATCGAACCACACTTTTTCCCTTCTTCTGTCCGTGCAAGATGTCATTTGCATTCGCACTCGTAAAATATAAGACTTATCGGTTTTTCATTACGAGCCATGATTATTTTTATTATTGATATTGGAAGTAATCGGTTTTTTTTTAATTACTTTTTCTTTAAACGATTAAAAGAAACTGATATTAGTCAACATCTGGAATAATTGGAAGAACCGAAATGAAAAAAAAGTTTCACATTTAACATATTGTGTAGGACAGAATTTGGGCAGAAGATTAACTGGCTCAAACCGTCGGTGCAATTCAGCCTTACTTTCCCGAGCAAGGAACGATGCGATATAACTGATCGCGAGAAAGTAGAAAAGCGCTGCCTTGTAATCCTTTTTTAATCCCTAACGTCTCGAGCGCGTGTTAACGCACATAACGCAATCTAACGGCCACGTATCCCTCCTTTCCAAGTAACTATAAACTAATCACATAGCTGATGCTTCTGAAAATTATTCCGAAAGTAATCAAACAGCTTTATTAAAGACGATAACTTGCCCGAGAGTCTTTGAATGAGATTTTTCGAGTAAAATCGTATCCGATACATAACGACTATAAAAGAGTCAATCGATCTGCTCGAGAATCTCATTAATAAAGAAAAGACAAGTTTAAACGTTTGCCTTTAACGTATTTAGGTTTGCATTCGTTTCATCTCGTCTCTTTTTCGCCCTTCTCTCTCAACCATTTTCAGACGCATTATTTTTTTCACCTCTTTTATGCGTCGCTTTATCGATATGGCGTTCTACCGTTTTCTCTTTTCTATTTTTCTCTTTCTTCTCACATTTTTCTTCCTTCTTATTCTACCTTTTTTACGACATAAAGATCTCGCTTGGCGGTACAGTCTTTTACCTAACAAACTCGACGCGACGGTTGTGTCCTCGACTATACAGGTAAATAAAGGCAACAATCTACATTTTCGATCGAAGCTGAACTAACTACGTTGAAGCAATTTTCGTCTCTCAATATATATACACGCGAAGCTAGTTCTGTTAATTTGTTTCTGAAAACGGAAGCTATCGATCCATCACGTTACTTTAACATGATTAATCGACTTCTGTCTGGTAAAGAAGATTGTTGCCTTGGAATTCTTGTAAATCTTCCATGAAGGCGTAAATTGTATCGTCCGAAGCAATCAACCCACCGGGTTGAAACGAAAATGGTCCCTTTATCGGGAATTCCCTTAGCTTCCAAGACGCCGTATCCTACCCACGATACGAGAGAAAATCCGCGTAGAGATTAGATATCCAATCGCAACGCGGAGATTAGGTGCCCGGTCTTCCCTATCAACCACGAACGACGGAATTCTCCGTAGCTTGGAACGTCCGGTTCGACGAGGAAAAGACCGTCACTCGTACCTGGAACGCTCAATGATGCCACAGTCCGTCCGCGCGCGCTCACGTTTATCCTGCGGACAATCGCGAGAGAAAGAGAGAGAGAAAGTGTGTGTGTGTGTGTGTGTGTGTGTGTGTGTGTGTGTGTGTGTGTGTGTGTGTGTGTGTGTGTGTGTGTGTGTGTGTGTGTGTGTGTGTCCTCGACAGTCTTACATATGCTGAAGAGAAAGGGAGTGAGAAATTGTGTGTATGTATATGTGTGTGTGTATGTGTGTGTGTGTGTGTATGTGTGTCTCTGTCCTCATCGCGCAGAACGAACGAGGAACGAAGAAACCTACTCGCACCGTTCTGGGTCTTCGTGAATTCTTCGGGGATGTAACTTGCCGCTGCGAAGATGCATCATGGTGAAGGCGCATATCGGAGGCAGCCGGACGGTGGGAACGAAGGAGAGGGTTGACCAGAGGAGTCATTCGATTCTTTGGAGCGAGCGAATCGACGAGGGTATCGAGTGGTGCCTCTGCGAAAACGAAACGAAGCGACGATGGTTTCGAGCAGTGACGTAGCTTTCGCGACTAGAGGCTACCGCGATGAAAGCGAGTTAGCTGTGCCTGCGTGCCGGTAACACGGCGATGCACGTTCGAATGCACCACGAAGCAACGCCGTGTTACCGCTGAACCTGAAGCTCCTTTCGCACGAGCCACTCTATCTAACACATGAAGGTGTTCCAGAAATACTTCCGGAAGAATACCACCTGGGAAAAAACAATTCCCTCCCTTTTTTCAATTTCTGCGCGTAGAGGAGATTATCGCGAAAAGTGAGCCATCAAGAGAGCGGCTCGTGCGAGAAGGAATCTAGCGAAGCGAAAAAGGTTCTCCTCCGGATAAGCACGGAACTTACGCCACCGGGGAATCGAGTAATCTCACGAGAGTTAAATAATTATTGTAAATATCCGTTGCGCACGCGACGATATATAACAGAGGAGAGATATTCTACATAAATAGTTTATAAATTCATTATATATTTTTTTTTTCGTGAAGAAGCGCACAGATGGACGCGTCGTCGCTGTGGACGATAATAAATTATTGTTATTGATAATATATTACTACTACTATTATTATTATTATCGTCATCGCTACTATTATTAGTATTACTGTTATCATTGAAAAGCGTCACTGGTTTGGTGATGTACTGTATATTGTGTACGGCGGATGCGCGAAACCTTTCGAGGACCGGGCTTCGAGCGAGAAGGATTCAAACTGCCGAGGCTCGTGGATGTTTTTCTTTCCTTGTTTATATTCTTACACGGGTTGATCGTTCTTCGTGGTGACATTAGAGGCGGAATTAGCCACCTCACGGCGTTCTGATTGTTACTTAGGGAGAGATAAAGAAAGAAAAAGAGAGAGAGAGAAAGACGACTACCTTTCCTCGCTTCGTTGATCGCGACTCTTCTCGGTTTTTTCTCGACTAAGACTGACGAGAGTTCTCGTAGCGATAAGATAATTAATATCTGACCGTAGACATTAAACGACCAACCACCGCGAACAGTCTTGCATCCATAGACTTTCTTTAGAGAAATAGAATTTAATACTGAAAATTATTTATTTTGACTATTAAAAGCACTAAACAATAGTACTTTTATCGCTCGAACAATTAATCACTTCTTTCTAGTATTAAATTTCTATAACAGTTATATAATAGATTGCGCGTTCCCCTTGGAGATGTGAAGACAACATTAGTAAGAGAGAGTAATAGTGGATGTCACAAATGCTTTCCTTGTTCATTTGTGCAATGTACAACAGAGAGAATAACAAACCATTCATATCTCATATTTTTCATGTATTGTCTTTAGCTGCCACATATAAATGCACAGTCTATTATGGATATTTTTCAGCAAGGACACTGAGTAACACAATGAATCATTACATCTTTGTACTTGTTAAACAGGAATGAATTAATTTACTGTGTTATGCGGCCTTGCTGGAAAACACTCTTTATAAGTCTATGGTCTTATCTTTTCGCAAGAGAGGGATCTCGTTTTCCGGTCGTTTCGCGTCTCCAAAGATCGACTTTGAACTTGCTTGGAATCATAGACATAATAAAAATAAACTGTACATTCCTGAGGTTGTCATTATTGTTTCAAAAAGAATGAGTTTGAAGAGCATATCGCTCTCTCTTTAAAGTATCGAATTGAAGATAGATGCTGGTAGAGTTAAAAGGTAATGCTGATATGTTCAATTCTTTTTAACTGCATAGAAGCTAAGATTAGGGAATGCGTAGTATATGCTTGTTACGTCTATATTCGAATCGGATGCAAGTGATAACATCGTTCGATGTCACAAGCTGGAGTTGGATTTGTCATATTTGCGGACTCGTCCTCAAATATCGTTGCGTGCTCGAGGTGGAACGCAGCGAACGGAGTTGTCGAGTTTGGCTACTTTCTCGTTACGGTTTTCCTCCCGACGTTATTATCGTGTGTTGACACCTCTAGTGGTATTACGTCCCGCGTTTCCTAAACTTTTCTATTTTTCCCTCCGGTCTTTTATTCCTCCGGTACTTTTACTTGTCATTCTTTTGCCTCCATTCTCGTCGCAGCCCGCGCGTTCTTCGTCTCACGTCTCGCCGGAATCGTCATTTTTCACCCTTATGTTATTAAATACATAACTTAGCAATTAAGAGTTTTAACGACCCGCGACGCAAAAGTTTATAGGAATCCCCGCCGATAGGACGCGAGATTTCTGGTCGACTTTAGCTCTCGGCATAAAATTAAAGCTTATGGCGCACGATGCTTTATTTTCCTGCTTACGGTTTAATAAATTATTAGAAATCTGCGTACTGGATGATGCAGTTCTAATAATTGAAAACGCAAGCAATCTAGCAGGAAAATAAGCATCGTGTACTACAAATTTAAGATAAGTAAACTCGCGCGACGTGAGTTCCCGCCGGCGCCATTGAGCTGATTGCGCGCCGATGGGAATTGTCGTCATTCGTCACAAACAGTGCGTCTGTGTGTGTATATATATGTATATCATTATGTACATTATATCTGTTACATATTATGTACATACGTATATGTATATATATATATATATTTATTTATTTTAAAAGAGGGCACTTTTCCGTGCCTGATAAAATTGCTCCGTACATACACATCGCTCGCGTCATCCTAGTCGGTACACGTATGATATGTACATATCGATGCAGACGTTCTGATTACATCGATACGTATATAGATACGTTTATCAATCGCCTATCCTGTAATTAAAGCTCATCATTTTTAATGTATGTGAACTATTGTCGTGGCGTGTAATATTCGTACTTGTATAAAGGCAATCGCCCGCGCTGACGCTCCAATCGTTCTCGCTCGAATCGTCCACGTTGGAGCATATTCTTAAGAACGAATTTCATTATTTTCTTCGAAAACGGTGACAAACCTTGCATATTTCTAATGTACGCCGACAGCTCTGTACGAATAAAGGTTTGGAAGTAATTTCACTGTCCTGCCTTCATTCCGTCGTGACCCTTTTCTCGCAAAAGGATTCTTTATTTGATGATTTAGCATCTCTGGCTATTATTTATTAAGAAAAAAAAATCTCAATCGCTTGTTTTCTAAATGCGATTCCATTTACATATATTTAATTTGTACTTATAATTAATAAGAGAAATGAATCTTTAAATTAACATCACGTTTGAAATGAATAATTTAATTTGATCGTAGAACTGCAA